GAGTATAATGAGATGATCTGGACAGAAATAAAGATTTATTATGATCAGAATTTCAATATATTTCATGGATTTATGATAATTTTAGTTTGGTCCTCTAAATGGATAAAGTTACAATTTGACCCTTAAAAATATGAGGAATTACAGATTAGTCCCTGGCTATAATATTAGCTTTTGTAGATGGGTTTGATGAATAATTGAGGATTAGTTAGTGAAGTATTACCAATTTTATTATTTGTTTTATTATAAATTAGATTTTGAGAAAAGTGTTAATTTTTTAGTTTTTGGAATATAACTAGTTAGTTCAAAAATATATAGAGTTATGGAATACATCCTTAAATAAGTGTATTAAATAGGTTATATATTCTTTTGAGTCATTCTTGAATATGTCTTCTTTGTATTCAGATAATCCTGATATTCTACCGGCAGGACGTCAGTAGGATTTTCTTCGGTGTTTGCTTTTGATTTCTGTTTGCTTTCGAGTCAGGTGAGTGGATAATTTTCCATATGCATGAGAAATATTATAAATATTTGATTTGTTAATATGAATTGAATCATGCTTCTTGGTAATATATTTGGTGACTAATATCCTTGTTATGATAAGCATGATCATTTGTTGAATCCGAATTCTTGATATGAACCAGTATGTATTTTGGATTGACTTCTGAATTGATAGCTCCTTATTTGATTGATGTCATGAGTTGAGCCTTGAGATATGAATATGTCTGTTTGATTATGATTATGACCCTATGGTATGTCAGTCAGAATACCCATGCTAACAGGGTAATGTTAGTCTTTGTGCACATCGTATCTGAACCCTAGTTGGTCGGGGGAGTCACCAACCTGTGTGGACTGATCATCCCACAGTACGGAGCCTCATGCTCATTGCATTTTGATTTTCTGACGATTTTACCATATGATTCTTGTTATGGTCTATTTGTGAAACTTTCTTATAAAACCCTATATTTCTCATTATTGTATTATCTCGTGTGTGTATATTGAACGTTATCTACTCACTGAGTTGTTGAACTCACATTCTCATTATTTATCATTTTCAGGCTTATAGCTTGATAGCAGGTCACTTTTGTTGGACCTTCAGAACCTACTCTTTTGATTGTAATTTGTACCTTTCTTTATGTCTAGTAAGTGCTCCAAAAACTCTAGTATTAAGACAATTCAATTATATTATGAAGTTGATTTTGTTATTAATACTGCGTTGAACTTTGATTGAGTTAGGATAAATTTGTGTGTAAGTTTGGGTTCGTATAAGTATGAAATCTTGGAGGGGAATTTTGTTTATGTGCCGGTTATAGATCCAGGATTGGATCATAAAAAAGAAGAAGAAGAAGAAGAGTACTATAGCAGATCCAGGATTGGATCATGACAAAGAAGAAGAAGAAGAAGAGTACTATAGCTGGATTAATTGCTGCATTCATTCATTTTTGTCCAAACCGTATTCCGTTACAACTGATCGTATTTATAAGAGCAAATAATGGAACAACAGAATTCTGACTCAACATTCTTCTCCGGTACAAGTTGTTTAGGTCTGTTATTGAAACGGTGCGTATTAACTGATGGAGATAGCCCTTGCCATTGAACTAGGATTCGAGTTGCAGCCTGCTACCCCCTTCCGACCAATCTTCGATCCAAGATTGCTAAATCAGTGTACACCATTTTGTTTCCCACGCTCCTCTTCAACTGAGAGACATGGAAGACAGGATGGATTGTCGTTGATGGCGGAAGATTCAATTTCTTCAATCTTCTCAATTATTGCATATGGACCATAAAACTTATAGCCGTTGGCTTGTGTTGTGGTACTGATTTCTGCTTGTAAGGTTGTAGCTTTAAATACACTAAGTCTCCCACATCGAAAACCTTGTCACTTCTCTTCTTGTTTGCTAATTGCTTCATTCTATGTTGTGCATTGATCAAGTTCTGTCTGGTTATTTGTAGAATCTATTTCTTTTTATTGATGTAACTATCAACTGCTTCCAGGGGAGAATCTTCAGGGAAATAAGGAATGTGAATAGGTGGGGCAAAACCATGTAGGACTTCGTAAAGAATAAGCTTAGTGGTTGTGTGACCATTCATTTAGAGGCAGCCACTTGCACCATTATGAAGGAGCATCTCCCATCATGCATCCGAGATGGTTCTCCAAACATTTCTTAGCTATCTCGGTTAGCCCATTTGATTATGGATGATAAGCAGTAGTGTAATGTAGATTGACTCCTTGTAAATTGAACAGTTCCTTTCAAAACTAACTGAAAAAATATCGAGTCTCGGTCACTAACTATGGTGGCAGGGAGACCATGAAGTCTGTAAATTGAATCCATAAAAGACTTTAGCTACTGAAATGGCAGTATAGAGGTGTGAAAGTGCCATAAAATGCATATATTTTCTAAATTTATCCACCAATACAAATATAACTTCTTTACCTTTAGATATAGGTAGACATGTTATGAAATCTATGTTGATGTCTATAAAGGGTGCCTCTGGAATATGCTTAACCCTGGGTAAGCCACATTCTTTAGACTTGTACCTCTAGCAGGTAAGGCACTCCCACATAAATTGCTTGACTTGTTTTTGTTGTTTCTTCATGTAGAATACATTACCGATCTTCTTTGTTGTGATTAAAAACCTTGAGTAACCACCCAAGACATTGTTGTGATAAATGACTATTAACTTGTTTTTCAATACATGATCGTTCCTTGCTAGCAGGTTGCCTTTCCTGATAAGATGACCTTGACTTCATTTGTAGTGGAGATGAGTACCAAGATCTTTCATCAAGTCCTGGATAATGGATTTCACCTTGGTGTCCCTTTCCTATGAGTTTTTTTATTTCTGAAAGTAAGCTAATGGAAACTGTAGATAAAGCTAGTGCATTGAGTTCACTGCTAGATAGGCATCACTTCCTTTGTTTTCCTTCCTCTTTCTGAATCCAATCTCGTAATCAAACCCTAGCAATTTAGTCGGCCATAAATGTTTGGATAAAGAGGTTATCTTCTGATCTATCGGGTATTCAAGACTGACATGATTAGTTCAGATTTTGAAACGTCTTCCTTACAAGTAATGTTTCCATTTGATTATTACTTATAAAATATCCAAGATCTCTCTCTTATAATTAGACAAAACTCGTTGCCCCCCTCATAGTTAGATAAAACTTGTTGCCTTAGTCCTAAAGCTCTGCTGATATAAGCTCTAGGATGTCTCTTTTACATCAACACAACACCAATTCCAGACCTTAATGCACTAGTCTTTATAGGAATGGTTTACTCAAATTAGGTAAGGCCAGGACTAAAGAGTTGACCATTGCCTCCTTAAGTAATTCAAATGTAGTAATGGCTTCCTGATCCCAATTAAACACATTCTTCTTGAGGAGTTTAGTTAGAGGTCTACAAGTAGTTCTATAATTCATTACAAAACTTTTTGTAATTGCTATGAGTTTAAGAGATCCTTGCAGCTGTTTGATGTTATGTGTTAGGCCTATTCATTATAGCTTGCATGCATCATTAGCCACCCCTACCTGCCTGAGAGATAACATGGGTAGGTATTCATTCTTTTCATCACGAAAGACACAATTATTATTATTTTTTATATAAAAATGAAAATTTAATTGAACAGAAGAATTTAAAAAATAAAACAATAAAAAAATTAAAGAAAAAAAACATATCAAAAACATCATCATTACAATATTTCAATAAACAATGCCTTAAAGTTTACATATAAAGTGTTTTAGCAAGTAGTATTAGTTTATGTTAATTTTATTCCAGATTCTTGCAGTAAAACTGCAGAAATGGGTGTCTGTTCTCATCCCTTCCCCGAACATGTTTCCTGAATCATTTAAAAAAAAATTAAAATGTTTAAAAAAAAGAAGAAAAACTCACTCGCCATTTTAGGGGAACAAGAACTATTGATTTGCCTATTCTATAGAAGATTTAAAATGTAGCCTTTGTCTGCATGTATACTGTCATGGGACATATAAAATCCGGCAGCTGCAAGATCGATGCCATATCTTGCTAGCGATGCTGCCAAGGTCTTCTGCCACCCTCCTCTTGT